CACCATGTCCAGGACTCAAACCGTGGTCGACTACATGGGAGTCCAGCGACATAGCCATTACACCAATTGCGGGCCTATTAATATTAACTTCCTAGTATCCTTCCCATCTTTTCTATAAATTGTCCCTCTCAAATTTCAAAAAGTGTGATGGAACTTTTGTGCTATTTAGTCTTAGGGAAGGTTTGTGCTAACAGGTGGAAAGCAAAAGTAGCTTCAGATTACTTGCATTCTTGCTTTAGTTTTCAGAGTCTGAAGGTAAGTGGTGAGTTGTCTTTGAGGACAAGGAGAGAAAGACAAATATTTCCCTAGGTCTAAGGGGAGAACAGAGATCCTATGTTTCTGAGAGAGGTGGTGACTTTTATCCAACTTCCAGGTGTTCCCCCAGAAAGTGCTAGGTCCCGGTAAATAGCTACATGATGAGCTGAAACATAAATTTCTATCACAGCTAGGGATAAATGAACATTAAATAACCTTGTCCATTCCTGGCTAATGCAGAAGCTACTTAACACCCTGGAAGAATTCTAGGGAGGAAGTGGCATATCAGTAATCACTGAAATTCTGTTTCTAGTCATTCTGACCAGATGGTAGCTTACGTTTGGATTTCTTAGCACTATTTGGCAGCATATAGATTAATTCCAGTAAAGAACTGAGTAAGCTTTTTGTTTATAAATGTTGTGCTTTTATAGTCTCAAAGGTTTTGACTTGAGAGTCAAGTATACATATTCCTCCAGGATAATTTCAGCCACAAAAAGACATGCAAATACATTAATAATACTTTAGCTCATATTTACAAATACATTAATATTATTTTAGCTCATATTTATTTATCAATGTTGATAACTATTGTTTATTTTTTCTTTAGATTCCACTATCATAAAAATGACAAGTTTAATATGAAAAATCTAGCTTTGGGACCAGCAGATGGCATAATGGTTACATCACTGGACTCCCACAAACTCAACCACAGCTTGAATCCCAGGCCCAGCAGCTTAAAACTCATGCTGGGTGCATGTGCATGTGTACCCCAAATCCTGGGAGGATAAGGAAGGAAAAGGGACTGCAGCATGGACATACCCCCCTGGAGGGTGATTTTTCACTGTTTGTCTCTCTGTGTGTCTCTCTGGTGAGACGCATGCACCTTATAGCAAAAAAAACTCTCTAAGGGCCAGCAGGTGGCATGGTGGTTAAAGGTGCTGGACACCCACAAGGCCGACCATGGTTTGGAGTCCCATACCTGGTGACCTGCTTTCTTTCTTTTTCTCTCTGCCTCTCTCTAATAAAACTGGAAAATAATAATAATAAATAAAGTTAAATAAAATAATTCTTAAAAAACACTCTCTCTCTAAAAAAAAATCCTCTATGTTTAGGAAATTTAGCAATATTGCTGTGATTTTTTTCAATTAAAAAAATAATTATCTATTTAGTTTTACATATTATCTTCAGTTTGACCAGAAAGAAAGAGAGAGAGAGAGAGAGAGAGAGAAGGAAAATGAGAAAGCAAGCTGCCGGGTCCAGGAGTTTAATTGTGGTCAACAAAATGTAGTCTTGTGCTTAACCACCATGCCACCTGCCATCCTACTTTTCAATTTTTTAGTTAAACTTTAAACTTAAAAACATCACAATTCCTATAAGCTACTTTTCTTTTAGGCATCAATGCTACATATATATTAGACCATTACATTATTTTATTGTTGGTGTTATAAAAAGTCATCCAAGGTAAGATTAAGGCACTGGATTCCATGAGGCCAACTCTGTGGTTCAAGTCACAGATCAGGGGAGTTAAAAAACACACTGGGCATGTGTACCTACATGTCCAAATCCTGAGAGAAAAATGGAGGAGGAGAGACAGTGTTGTGGCCATTCCCCCTCCCCTGTCCCACCCCCACACTCCCCAGGGGATGATTTTACATTTCCCTCTCTTGCTGTCTGTCTGTGGTAAGTGCACAAACTCTGTGGTGAATTATTAAAAAAAAAAAGAAAAAGAAAAAATAAAATAAAACAAAAAAAAAAAGAAAAAGGCATCCAAAACTTTGATATAAGGCAAAAAAGTGGGTGACATATCCAATGTCATAAAGTGATGAAAGCCATCCAATGTATTCTAAGGAATGTATTTAGGCAGATTCACTGTATACTACTGATTAAAATACCTAGACTTAGACTTAGTAATGCTAGCTATATTATAGATTTCAGCCCTACAGAAAGATAACTCCAAAATTATGGCTTACTACTCTTTACCTAATTCACAAATCTTATTGTAACATTTCTCTATTAAACTGCGTATGTATATAAACACAGACATAGTCATAGAACTAGGTAGACAGATAGATATAAAGATATAAAGTTTCTCAATTGCTTCTTAAACCAGCTTTAGGATCACACTGGTTCCTTCTAAGTAGATGTATTTATTTTTTACTTGTATAAAAGTCCATTTTATCTTTTTGAAAATTAAATCTTAAAACTGAAATTAATGTCAGCTGTTTTACCTTTAAGCCTTCTGGTCCTGGCTCACCAGCAATTCTAGGTGTTTAGGGTTGAGGAGCGTCCTAAACCTGCCATCATAGATCTTACATTTTAGTGAGGATGACAAAAACCAAAAGAAAAACAAAAAATAATTGAATATGTAGTAAGTTAGGTAGTGGTAAATATAAGGGACTAAAAAAAAAAAGTAAGCAGGGAAGCAGATCTAATATACTGTGGGAGTTTTGTTGAAATTCTTGATAAGATTTTCTGAGAAGAAGACCTCACTAAAAAGGTAGCATTTAGGAAAATACTTAAATAAAGGAATGCTATCAATATACTTTAAGGAAAAAACATACCAGGCAGTGCAAAGGCACATGCTGTGTTGGAGGCACCATGAGGAGTCAATGCAGCTGGAGCAGAATAATGAGCGGAGAACATGAGTAACAAGATAATGTCAAAGAAGTGAGTGGGAGATGGGAATCCTTGGTCATGGGGAGCCATGTTACCGACAGTTAAACGCGTTGGCTTTTACTATGAGTTTTGTAACATTTCTCTATTAAACTGCATATGTATATAAACACAGACATAGTCATAGAACTAGATAGACAGATAGATATAAAGATATAAAGTTTCTCAATTGCTTCTTAAACCAGCTTTAGGATCACACTGGTTCCTTCTAAGTAGATGTATTTATTTTTTACTTGTATAAAAGTCCATTTTATCTTTTTGAAAATTAAATCTTAAAACTGAAATTAATGTCAGCTGTTTTACCTTTAAGCCTTCTGGTCCTGGCTCACCAGCAAACCCTTTTCGACCTGGTTTTCCCTAGAAGGGAGTAGAATAAAAGAAAAAAATGTTTACTTATTCTCTTTTTCGAAGTTTACCAAGTTATAAAGTTTAGACACTTCATATAAATAAAACTATTCAAAAATATTTGATAAATATATTTTATCATTCTGATTAGCCATTCATTCTACAAATATCTGATTATCTACCATATGCCATATTCAATTCTAGGTGTTTAGGGTTGAGGAGTGTCCTAAACCTGCCATCATAGAGGTTACATTTTAGTGAGGATGACAAAAACCAAAAGAAAAACAAAAAATAATTGAATATGTAGTAAGTTAGGTAGTGGTAAATATAAGGGACTAAAAAAAAAAAGTAAGCAGGGAAGCAGATCTAATATACTGTGGGAGTTTTGTTGAAATTCTTGATAAGATTTTCTGAGAAGAAGACCTTACTAAAAAGGTAGCATTTAGGAAAATACTTAAATAAAGGAATGCTATCAATATACTTTAAGGAAAAAACATACCAGGCAGTGCAAAGGCACATGCTGTGTTGGAGGCACCATGAGGAGCCAATGCAGCTGGAGCAGAATAATGAGCGGAGAACATGAGTAACAAGATAATGTCAAAGAAGTGAGTGGGAGATGGGAATCCTTGGTCATGGGGAGCCATGTTACCGACAGGTTAAACGCGTTGGCTTTTACTATGAGTTAAGACAGAAAGCTTTGAGAAGAAAATTGATGTAATTTATGTATCAATAGGACCACTCTGATAGAACAGAGGAAGCAGAAAGTACAAACAGGAGTCCACTGTAAAAAAAATTCACATGAAAGGCAATGGTGGTATAGATCAGGGTGAGAATAGAGGATGCAGAGAGAAGTGGGAAGATTCTACATTTAGTTTGAAGGTAGAGCTTCCATACCATACATGGTATGAAATGTGGAGGAAAGGGGAGAGTCATGAAGAAACTCAAAAATTTTAAAAATATTTTTATTTCAATTTTTTTATACATTCAATCACATAAGTCACTTAGCTTGCAAAGTGATTATTCCAACATGTATACATTTCTCACCAATCCAGTTGAAAATACTATACACATTATCTTCAACAGATAATAACCCATTTCTTTGTTCCATAAATGCCTTGCCTCTCTATTTTTCTCCTTAATGTCCTTCCTCAGACTTTCCTCCTTCACCCACCTTCTTCCCACACTGTGTCTGATATTTATAACCATTTTCTATGTTTCTATATCCTTTAGTCATTCGGTTTTGGCTACGCAGTGTGGACAGCTGGTACCAAATAAGAAGACGACGACTATGAGAGGAATAGTTTGAGAGGGAAAATTAGAAGCTGAGTTTTGGACATTTGAGTTTGATGGGCTTGTTAGACATCTAAGTGAGGAGATTTTGTGGTAGTTATACAAGTCTAGATCTCAGGCCGAGGAAGATTCAGATTTGAAGATATAATTTTGGGAAACATCAGCATTTTGATGGTATTTAAAGTCATAAGAAAAGTCAGCTGCAGTGGCACAGTGGTAACTGTAATGCTCCGTGATGCTGAAGCCACAAAGGAAAGTTCCAGGTGTGTATCCTGAAGTGTTACAGGGTGCGTATGCACAAGGCTGGTGGAAACTGAGGGTGGATCAAGGTGTGAGGACCCTGTGGAATGGCTATATGTCTGTCTCTGTCTCTCTCATATGGAAGAAATAAACTTTATTTAAAAAAATAACATTATATGGGCTTACCTAGACAGTGAGGGTAGATAGAATAAAGACAAAGTCTACAAATAAGGCTTGGAGCACGCCAAAATTTAGAATGTGGAGAAATGAGGGAAAACATGAAGTTTGATCCCAGAGAATTAGGAGAATCTTGCAAGTGAAGTTACTATTTCCTGGAAGTGAGAGTGATCTTGTCAAAATCTCTTTTCAACCATACCTGGTGAGTTCAGGTTGGCCCAGGAACTGAACCTATGCTTCCTATGAGGCTTCCAGTCTCCCAAGCAATAGCACTATCTGTGTGCTACTAATTTATAGTATCTACCAGGCATGACACTTTGGATTTTGTTATTGCTATCATTAACAAATACTCTCATAATTTTACTTCTTAGAGGAAAATAAAATAACCCACTGGTTCTCAGTCTCTTTTGACCACATATAAAAGCCTTAGCAACTTAAAATTACATTTAGGGGGACCAATGGATGGTATAATGGTTACATCACTGGACTCCCACGTAGTAGCCCACAGTTCAAGCCCCAGATATGGTGGCTTGGAACTCATGCCAGTCGCATGCACATATGTGCCCAGAGTCCCGAGAGAAGAATGGAGAAGGGATTGCAGCATGGCCATACCGACTGAGGTGTGATTTCTTGCTTTCTGTTTCTATCTCTCCAGTAAGCACACATGTGCTATAGGAAAAATCTCTCTAATAATAATAATAATAATAATAATAATAATAATAATGATAAATTATATTTAGGATTTCTAGACAAAATGCTATTCTGATTTTTGTCTCTGTCAATGGTATCCTACCAATCACAGAGCAGAGAAAAGAACTGAAAAGCATCCTATTTAGTTAAATACCAGTTGTTTTTTAATTAACTTAGAAATCTAAGAGTTAGGAGCTGAAATAATTAGATATGTCTAAAATTTACAAAAAAGAATTCAGTAAGTTGCCTTAGTGAGAATATTCCTTTCCTCTTTAATAATGTAATATTCTTTCAGGCACTGCAGTATATTTAGAATAGTTATACATCATATGTACATTAAGAAAAGAATCTCATTGGAATCTGGTATTAACACATTATAACCTCTTTGAAATAAAGCAAATCAGAGCATTGGTGATGGCATCATAACATCTGGTCTATTTAAAATTCTGTCACATTAGATTTGATTTTGAGAGTGCTACACTTGAGCATGTACTATTGAAACCTTAATTTCAAACTAAAAAAATAGGCACATTATTTTGCAGAGTGTTTTCAGAATTAGAGATGTTTCATGTGATATACCTACAGCAACAACTGGCCCCAAACTGATTTTAAACCAATAGAAACAATAATAATAATAATAATAATAATAATAATAATAATAATAAATTAAGACCATGTAAAAAAGAAGTGACTTTGGTTCTCTTGCATTTTAAGGAAGTAAATTTTAAATAAGATCAATTTTACCAGCTCAAGTAAAACAGTTTTTCTTTTATATAAATCTCCTCACAGAAAGTAAAATAAAAACTCTTTCTTTCGGTGATATAGTATCACATATGTGTTATGAGGAAAAGGTGGAAAAGACTTAATCTTTTTTTTTTTTTTTCGGAGGGGTTTTTGCTATCGGGCATGTGCGCTCGCCAGAAAGAGACAGAGAGACAAAAAGCGAGAAATCACCCCTCGGGGGGATGGCCACACCACAATCCCTTCTCCTCCATTCTCCTCTTGAGATCCTGGGCACACATGCACACACACACACAGCAGGGATTTAAGCCACCGGGTCCAGGACTCAAACCACAGCCAACTACATGGGAGTCCAGTGACATAGCCATTATGCCAACTGCAGGTCCCCAAGTAATTAATCTTTTTAAATGTAAAAATGTTTTAAGAATCTGTACTTTATGATGTTCTGAAGAGAAGAGAATGAGATGATTTCATGTGAGTGTAATTAATGACTCTTAAATTAACATAATACATTGATCTTAATTACTTCATGATAATGTAAACCTTGGTTATACATAACAAAAATACATGTAGAATTCATTTTTAGAACTTGAAAGCAAATAATTCATATATTACTACATAGCATCATCTGATTAAAAAATTGGCAGAAAATACATTTTATTAGCTTTCTATAATTTTACTGACATAGAAAACAAAGATTCCCAGAATACTACTAATTTAGCCTCCTATTACACTTTAAAAAGTTTATAAATAATTTGCACAAATTAGTAAGACCATAAGACCCTGTAAAAACAGTGAATGTGGGACCAGCAGTTGGCATAATGGCTATGTTGCTGGACTCCCACATAGTCGACTGTGGTTCGTGTCCCGGACCCGGTGGCTTAAACTCATGCCGGGTGCATGTTCATGCGTGCTCAAGATCCCAAGAAGAGAATGGAGGAGAAGGGACTGCATCATGGACATCCCCCCTGGGGGGGGGTGATTTCTTGCTTTCTGTCTCTCTGTCTCTCTCTGTCTGTCTGGCGAGCGCACGCGCCCTATAGTAAAAACCTCTCCAAAGGGGTGGGGGGGAAACAGTGAATGTGTACAAGGCAGAATATCATTAGAAATATCTTGAGAATTCCAGTTATTAGCCTATTTTATTTTGGGAGATGTTAGAGCTACAGTTTGTTTTCATTTTTCTCTTTAGTATAATTTAAAACTTCATGCTATTAAAAATATTTACAGGGACCAGAGGTGGTGTAATGTTTATGTTAGTAGAATTTCATGTAGTCAACCATGGTTCGAGTCTCAGACCGGTGGCTTGAAACTCATGCAGAGCACGTGTCTATGTGTCCAAAATCCCAAGAGAAGCTTGGGAGGAGAAGGGATTGTATGGCCTCCTCTCTGGAGGGTGATTTAGTTTCTTTCTGTCTTTCTGACTCTTTTCTGTCTCTCCAGTGAGAACTTACACCCTATAGCAAAAATATCTCTTTCTAAAAAACAACAACAAAAAAGGATATATGTGTGTGTGCACGCGTGTCTGTGTGTGTGTTTATTCACAGAACAGATGCTTTCAAGAGAAATTCTGTGGAAAATTATTTATATGATACCTACTCTTGGCCCGAGTTCTCCAAAGGGTCCAATCAGTCCTTCTTCTCCCTTAAAAAAAAAAAAAAAAAAAGATGGCACAAAATACGTATTTATCCATTTTAACCCTTTAACCCTTATTCTATTTATTCTGAAATATGAAACTCATTCTTAGATATGAAAAAATAATGCTTTGATTTTCTTATATTTAAAAACTACATCACCCTATAACATTAAATTTTTACATGAGAAATCCCACATCTACCCTCAGAGGGACACATGCTATTGGATTATTTTTAAATTGGTAGATGACACAAGTTATACATAGAAAACTGAAGTAGAGAAGAGTGAAAGTGACAAACGTAACAGAAAACCAGGATTAAGAATAATTGTAACCATGAATTAAGGATAATCTTTACTTTCTTAGACTAAGTATCCTCTGACACAGAAAGATTCAATTAAGTTTTTAATAGATGAAAATCAACACACTCTAGTCCATTTTTAAAAAAAATTTAGGGGCTTTACAGTGGTAAAGGGGCAAAAATAATTACTCATGAGGCTGACGCACATGGGAAGGTTCAGGTGCACATCTGGAGACCCTCCCAAGTACACGAGGCACATGCACATCCATGATCTGGGGGCTGACTGCAGCTGCGGGTGGATCATAGCATCAAGACCTTCTTGGGGATGTTGTCTCTTTGTCTTTCTATCTACCTTTCTCTGCCTCTGTTGCTCATGTAACAAACCAACTTTTAAAAAATTATTTAAGCAGAATATATTTGTTTTAGGCACATGTTGATACTTCATTCATTCAACAAATATGGTTTTGAGTCTTGGTGCCCTAAGATATAGAGATGAAAAGGTATACCAGATCCTGCCCAGGAGTTAATGTCTAGAGTTTACTCTTGGATAATTTATAGGTCCAATATTCCTGAGGTCAACTCCAGAAATCTGGTGAATTCTTGTAAGAAACAAAAATTATATGGGTGGATAAAGATTGAAGATAAATATGAAAAAATATAGAGTTTTTAATCCATTATTCTCTAAGAAAATTAAAAAGTAATAAATGGGCTGGTCTGGTAGCCTAATAAGTTAAGGGAACCAGATCCCACATGGTCAACTAAACAGTTCACATCTTGGCTCCAGTGGCTTGAAAAACATGCCATATGTGTGTGCATGTGTGCCCCAAATTCTGATCGTATGAAGAAATGGAGGAGAAGGGACTGGGGAGTAACAACGCTCCATCAAGGTTTGCTTTCTCTCTCTCCTTCTCCTCCCTACCTCTCTGGCAAGTGTACATGCCCTCTGGAAATTTTTTAAAAAGAAAAGAAAAGGTAGTGTAGCATGTAACCAAGTGGTTAAGGTGACTGGATCCCCTATGGCTGATCATATAGTTTGAATCCTGACTAGGCAGTTCATGCACACATGCTCTTTTTCAAGCACAAAGAGCATGTGTGCATGAACGCCCAAAATCATGAAAGGAGAGAGAAATCGAGAAGAGATTGCTTTCTCTCTATCTCTGTCTCTGTCTCTCTAGCTCTGTGAGTACATTGCTGGCAAATAAAAATAAACATTTTTAGTTTACAGACATATTTGCTAGTATTTTTCATCTCTAAATAACTGACATTACCACATCAGAACAACAAATAACAGGCCTCTCTAGAATCTTAGATCCTCTTGATTTGATAAACATTTTGTTTAATTCAAAATTTAATTGAAATATAATTTGTTGAGTCACAAATGTCAAATAGTCACTAAGAGTAAATATAAATTCTAATACATGGGCCTGCTCTGTGGCTTTGTGGTAATGCTCTGTCCAAGAAAAGTGGGATTCTACATGGTGACTGTGGTTTGAATCTCCAGTCCAGTCAGCCTGAAACACACTGAATATGCATTTGAGTGCCCAAAATGTCCTGTGCTGGAGGAAGGGGATTGTGCATGACCAGACTTTGAGGAGAGTGCTCATCTCTCTCTCTTTCTCACACTCTTATGTTCATATATACATGTTTTATCATGAATAAAGAAAAAAAATAAAAAATAAATTCTAGCATGTGTGAGTAGATTCTGAGTTTAGTTTCTTCAGACATTCCACTGGAGACCACTGACAAATTACTTAATGAACTAAGAATACGGCAAAGCGATTTCAAATTCCACTACATAACTGCCAATAAAAAATGGTAACTTGAACTCCCTTATGGCAAAATCTGTTCAGTATGTTCTTTAAGCAAAACTAAAGTCCTACAACAAATAGGAAGGGATAATTTGAACTAAAAAATTGCTGACACGAGATTCATTTCCTCCATACCTGAGTTCCTTTGAGACCAGGAGGTCCAGGAGGCCCTCTATTTCCAAGGAGTCCCTAAGAAACCAATATAAGCATACACGATACAATTTTTAGACTGTTAACATTTTAATTAATTAGAATTAACTTGGAGATAGACAATACTATTTGGTACCATTTATTTTCTATATAGAAATGATCATAATAGGGTAGGAAGGTAGATGAACAGAAAACTACAGGCCTAAGTTGAGAAACAGGATAAACGTTTTACACATATTAATGTTCAAATAATCTATCTAATATGTTATTTTTCGACCTCCAGACACTTTTTTTGGAAAAAGCACTTCTAAATTTAAAGCAATGGGTACGATTATTAATCTGATAATAGTACAATAAATATGTAATAGAATATCCACAAAGTCTGAAAACAGATGGAGGGCTACTAGTATTTTAGTATCTGTTAAGAGACCAGCAGTGCCAGGAACTCATTATTCATAGTAAATGTTCTTTGATTTATTTCCCTTCTTGATACTAGCCGGCAAAAAGAGAAGGGCAATTAGAAGTCTTAATTTAACTAAGAATTTCAAAATTATAAAAACCTTTTTTTACACAAAATGCACGTTGTGAAAATTAATTGCTCTCTGAAAGAAAATCCTTTCAAAGTAACTACAAAAGAACAAACAAAACAAAACTCTTCTAATTCAGAAACACCATACAATATCTATTCAACATGGCAACATTTTCCAATCCATTTCTCTTCTCCTAACTACACAATGTTCCAGGAAGGTTTTAAGTAAATATCTTTAAAGAATTAGACTCTGGGGGACCAGCAGGTGGCATGGTGGTTAAGGTGCTGGACACTCCCACATGGCCGACCACAATTCAAGTCCTGGACCTGGTGGCTTGCTTTCTCACTTTCTCTCTCTCTCTCTTTCTCTGTCTCTCTCTGGTCAAATTAAAATAATGAATAAATAAAATTTTAAAAAGAATTATACTCTGCATTCTTGCTTTTAGTAATTCTATAACCACTAAAATTAAAAAAGAAAAAAAATCCTATAGGGTGTTTGTGCTCATTGGAGAAATAGAGAGAGGGAAAGCGAGAAAGTACCAGTCACTTTCTCTCTCTCTCTCTTTCTCTGTCTCTCTCTGGTCAAATTAAAATAATGAATAAATAAAATTTTAAAAAGAATTATACTCTGCATTCTTGCTTTTAGTAATTCTATAACCACTAAAATTAAAAAAGAAAAAAAATCCTATAGGGTGTTTGTGCTCATTGGAGAAATAGAGAGAGGGAAAGTGAGAAAGTACCAGCCAGTGGGAATGGCCATGCCATAGGCACACACTCCTTTCTTTTCCTCTAGGGATTTTGGGCACACACTCACACACACCTGGTATACTTTTCAAGCCTCCCAGTCTGGGACTTGTATCATAGAGTCAGCCGTGTGGGATCTAGCACCTTTACCACCTTGCCATCTGCTGGCCCCAGGTTTTATCTACTTTTTAACAGTCAGAGAGCATATCTACCCAGGTGACTTTGATCTTTAGTTTTGAAATGCAGTGGAGTGACAAACGACAGAAATTTCTTCTTATGTATTGCTTTATCATTGCCATGTGCAAATATAATTAAAAATTAAAAACTGGGTCAGTTTTAAAGTCTATATTAGTACAAGCTTAATATATAAACAGCATCATTCAGGAAATTGCATCACTTCAGGTAATAACCTATCGGTGCAGTTAATTTTATTATTTTTAAAAAAGAGAAAGGATCAGACTATGGAAATAGGCATGTGCTATTTTATGCCAGTAAAACATATATTAACCCTTTTTCAGGCAAAACCACCTAAATTTTCCTTAAGGAAATACTCTTTTCTCACTCTTAGTCCATATTTGAACAGAGGTGACCTCTGACTGTAATGGTAGACATGTGACAGGGACTCACACCAGTCAAATGCCCCTAAAAATAGTGATGGGTTCAGGAATGACCAGGGGATCCAACTCGTCTAGTTAAAGCATATTGTGAACTTCAGTGGGTATACTGGGAAGAGAGAATACTATACTTGCAAAGCTATTCTTCAGCATGGAAGGAGAAATCAACTCTT